AGAGACTGGCCCTGCTCCAAGGTCATACACAGTCTGGTCTCTCACTAGATTGTGAACCCCTTGAGGGCAGGGTGCAGGTCTGAATTGCCTCTGGGCTCCTGTGTCCAGCACGGAGCTTGTAATCCTTGGGTCCTGACCAGAGGGCCCAGCCCCTCTGGGCCTCAGTTGTCAGGCTGGCCAAGGTAGCACAAGCTTGAGTTGGCCCTTCTTCCTCACAGGTGGCATGGGTAGGGGTGGAGGGTGGGTGCTGAATTAGAGTATATGGCTCCTTGTGTCCAGCTTCCTCTTCCTGGCTGGCCCAAGGCTTGGGAACAGTGGCTGCCTTTCTGGGGCAGCCAGGGCGCCTGGCCAGAGTATGCTCTGTCGGGCACTGTCAGCTCTTCAGCAAGCCCCAGTCCTCCTCTTAACCTAGAGAAGGCCCCGGGTTATTGGTGTTATTCTTGGCGGACCACCGGGCCCCTCAGCAAACAGGGAGGCGAGTGTGCACCCGGCCTGGGCCTGTTTGTGTTGGCCTCGCCAGGCGGGGGATTAGCTCAGCTGGGCTGCTAATTGCCTCCGAAGTGCCGAAGTGCCGGCCGGCCGGGATGCTGACAAGGGCTGGGCCTCTAGGCCCCTCCTCCCCAGCAGGCACTATGCCAGGCTTGGGGGCCCGGCCCAGGAGGGCCCCTTCTCTCCCCTGTCAGCGCCTGCTTGGCCTAGACCCTTGAGATGCGGGCAGGAGGTCACCAGGGCTGGCGGCTCAGGAAGGAGTGGGGGGAGATGCCTATGAAGTCATTGCCTGGGCCAGGCCAGACTCCGCCCCTTCCCCCACATCCCTTAGACCCCCTCTCCCTTTCCTGAGTCAGATGCCTTCTGAAGCTCAGCATTTTCTCCTTTTGTCAGGAAGCTACGGGCTCCTCTGCCCAAGATGCCCTTCGGTCCCTCAGTGCTGTCCTCTCCTTGTGTGTCTCTCTCTGTCCTTTGTCTTCCCACCTTCTGCCTTTCCCTCGCTCTGTTTCTCAGTCTTTCTTAGCCCCTCTCAGTTGCCCGGAGCCCTGTACTTCCTTATACCCTCTGTCTTCCTGTGTCCTCTGGCCCTTCCTTGGTCCAAGACCCATCTCAAACCCTGCCCCTGGTCTCCCCATACATCTCTTGGACCACTGCTGTCAACCAGCGGCTAAGACGGAGGTCCCCTTTATCACGGTCTCACAGCTTTCCTAGAGACCTTCAGGCCTGAGTTGTGAGGGCAGCTGTCGAGAATGGATGTGGACATAGGCCCTCTGTGAGCTGACCTTGCCTGGAGTCCTGAAGGCCTTCCATCCTTGTAGGCCGAGCCCCTGGGCCCCACTACATACACTTCTACAGCTCTGACACTCCTTCCTCCCCTCCTTGGCCCCTGTTCCCTGTCCTAGCCCTGCTTCTCGGCCACACTGAGAACTTGGTTCAGCCTCTCCTGCTGGCGCCTAGGGGCAGCTTTGCCATTGCCTAGCTTGCTGCCGCCTGGGTATTCTGACCCCTGGGGTTCCCTTGTCTGCTGGCTGGGGATCTCTGTCCTGAGACGTCTGTCTGTTTCAGATTTTGGGGATGGGGCCAAAGTAGGATCACCTGTCTTCAGCCCTCAACTGTCCCTTGATTTCCTCCTCGTTTCATCCCCTCTTCTGGCCCCCTCAACTGTAGAGCCACCTTAACTGCCTCCTACATTCCTGAAAAGGGAATAATAGTATTTATAATAGTAGCTGCCATTTGTTGACCTTTACATATTTGATTTAACATCCCCAAGAAACTGGTTCTATTTTTGTTTAGCCCCGCATGAAGTTGGGGCAGGGGGCGCAGCCCCATATTACAAATTAAGAAAATGAGTCCCAGAGAAGGACAGTGAATTACTCAATTTTCCATATAGTGAAGAAGTGGCGGCACTGGGATTCCAACCCATGTCTATTCGATTGCAAAGCCTGAGTCCTTTTCACAGTTGTAGGAAATGGTTGGGTATGGATCTTTGCTCGGCCATCATGGACCCCTATATCGCCAGTTCTTTTCTCTGTGCCTTGACCCTGATTTGGGGATGAGTTGTCCTTTTCTCTCCATCCACACTCTAGACACTTCCCTCCCTCCGTTATCCCCTTCCCCAGTTCTTCACAAATCCGTGTGTACCTCTGCTGTCTTGAAGGCACTTGCTTCAGCCCTTTTATACTCCACTAAACCTTTGGAAAGCGAGCATATAGTAGCCTAATTGCTCCCAGACGTGTGAATTGGCTGCACAGGGGTGGGGGCTCGGGAGGACAGGCCATGGCCCCCTTGGTAAGGGTGAGGACTTCACTAGACTGAAGTTCCTGAGAAGTCACTTTGGGTCTTCCCATCAGCTCTGACTTGGGTTACATGGAGTTTTCCATCCAGACTTCTCATCCTGACCAGGCTTCAATTCTGGAGTGGACTTCTAGCCACAGGCCTTGGATTCCTGTGTCCTTGGGCAGGAACTAAGTTCTTTTTGATTTGTTCCCTACCTTCTCAGTTGGCCCTCACTTCACCAGACCCTCCTCTGTCATTGTCTTTGTTCCTCCTCTGTATCAGCGCTCAGGAAGGGTTCTGAGGCCTTAGCTCAGGCCAGGGCTTAACTAGCTGATCGTGGCTCAATGAAGTGCAGGTAGAGCCTCGTGTGTTAAAGGGGGATTCCAGACAGCATGCAGGTGGCTCCTTCTCATGTGGCCAGCAAACCAGTTACTCAGAAGGAAAGAGGGCCAGGAGGGTCCCCATATCTAGCCTATGAACTGTTTATCTCCTTTTCCCATGTCCTTCCCCACGTCTCTCTCCTCCCTTTTCTGCAAACAAAGGCACTTTCACAATTGCAAGATAAAGAAATAATCATTTTATCGTGCATCAGACTATTTCATGGGGATGTCACAATGGCAAGGGGCCTAGTATAAAAATTAGAAGATGGGGTTGGGCAGCGGAGGGAGTAGCAGCATCCAGAGCTGGGGCTGATCCAGCCCTAGGCCTCAGAGGACATCACCTTTGTCTTATGGAGACTAGTGGAGAGGGTTTTGGGCAGGACTTGGATCCTCTGGCCAGCTTCCAGAGTGGGTGGGCTACATCAGGCAAGTGCTGGTTTCTCCTCTTTATTTGGGACAGTTTGGAGCTAGGTGTGTCCAAGGAAGCTCCATTTTCCTGCGGTTGTGGGTCCCTTTGGCCTTTGGGATGCTGGTGGTGGTGGCAGTAGGGCTGGGCAGAGCTTCCTAGAATCTAGTCTTACTTTACAGAGGTCATAACCTTGAGAACCGCAGGCTGGTCAGCTTTGAGAGAGCCCCCGGGCAGGTGGAAAGGTGACATCTGTGAACGGACACAGACCCTCTCACTTCTTTCTGGGGCAGTGTCCATAATACCAGCATCCATCCTGGATCTACCAGTCCCCTGGTTCTGGCGACAGGATTCGGGGATGGGGGAGAGTGGCTCTGTCCTGTCTCCAGAGGGGGAGGGTCTCCCCTGCTTCCTTTGTCTGGATCTGGCCTCTGCCAGTGAGGGATAGCATTTTCCCTGGCACTGAGCAGACAGCTGAACAGAGCCTGCCAGAGGAGCAGTGAGCCCAGCTGGGCTGCTGTGGGGACACTTAGTGGGCTTAGCTTTCATCCACATCAGAGCCTGCCCGCCCCAAGATTACCCCTCATTCCAGTGTGGCTGCAGCATCTCACTTGGTTTTGGCCTTCTTCTTGGATGGACATTGAGCAGGGAGCTTGGCTGGGGGCCAAGGGTGTTGACCCTCTCTCAGTGAGGGAGCCAACACCAGGAGGCACAAACCACAAGGCCTGGAGGAGAGTTTCTACAGGCTGGAGCCTGTATTCTCAATCTGGGACTCTGAATTCAGACATGGAATCCTGGAGCCAAGAGCTTGGGGTCTGAGAATCTCCAGTGGGGATCCCAAGCCCAAGCTCTCAAACCAGGAGCCTGGAGCCCCATTAAGGGGGCAGCTTGGAGACTGGGCCTCCGGCAAGCTCCTCTGGTGGTTGGGAGCAGCAGCGGGGTCAGGCCATGTCTTGCCGTGTGCATGTCCCGCTCACAGAACTTTGGTCTGTGCTCCTGCTGGTTTGGCTTGGGCACAGGGCCAGGCCCGGGCTGCTGGTGCTTTCTCTGGGGGACTCTTCTTCAGTGCCCAGGGTACCTGGGGGCAGGGTGCCTCAGCTGCTGACACCTCACTTTGTCAGCCCTCCAGCTGTGCACCACTTACCTCAGAGCCTGTTGTGTGGTTTGGAACCCTGTGGCTGCTAGGCCCAGCCCGTAGTCTGTGGCTTCTGCTGCTTTCTGGCCCCTCATCCTCCAGCTGGTGCCCCCTCCCCGAGGCTCAGACCCAAGGAGACCTGCAGTTCCTGGGCCTTTGGGTTAGGTGTCCCAGAGGAGCCTTGGCTGCAGGGCTCTTCCGGCTGTGCCTCTGCAGCCAGCTCGCTCTGGTAACGCAGCTGAGCACTGTCCCCTGTGCTGTAGGACGGGCACAAGCATGTCTGCGTGTGCCAGGAGTGTTGTGACCATCCCATGGGATGGCCCAGGGTAGGGCCCAGCACGTACTATTTGCTCAGGAAATGTGGTTCACTGAGGAAAGTAATGGGTGGGGAAAGGCTTTTTCACTGGCCAGTGCCTCTGCGTGTGTGATTTCCATTCTTCATCTTACCGAGGAGCGGCACCGTGAGGAGACACACGTGGAGGTGTCCCTGCCAAGGCCTGGCTGGGGCCTCTGATCCAGGATGACAGCTGGTGCTCCTGCCTGGGAGGGACCAGGGAGGGGTGGCTTCCCCTCTTTGATGGGGAGGCTGGGGGGGGGGGGCCAGGCTCCGGGGCGGGACCGGAGCCTTCTCTGGCTCTTGTCTCACCTGCTCTTCCTGCCTGGAAGGTCCCACAGAGACTGAACCTCCAGCTGCTCATGGGGGGCTGAAGCAAACCCTTTGCCCTTGAGCTGGTGCCTGCCCATTCCCTTGTCCGGGGTACTCGAGAGACAAGGCTACTAGGCTGAAGCTGCCAGGGGTCGGGTGTGTATGTGTAGGGGTGCAAGTTCATCAAGATGGCGCCGGTTTCCCCCTGCCTTAGGGCCACCTCCTTCCCTAGATGGCAGGGTCAGGGGGCACGTGGCGAACACTCCTTGTTACCCTGCTCAAGTCTGCGAGTAGAAAAACAGGGCTAACACCCACGTGGTCAGCAGCGGCCGCATGTGGACAGCCAGAGGCACGAGCAAGGTCCCTTTGGTCAATGGCAGCCACGAAGGCCCAGGCTTCGGAGAGGCCCTGGCTGGTGCCCTTGGGGCCGCCCGCCTGGTTTCAGCAATAAATAACATGAGGACCCAAAAACCAAACCAAAACAAAAAATACAACCAGTATCTTTTGGGGTAGGTGCGGGGGGCTGTTTAAATTACCGGCCTTCGGTGGGCCGCGGGGTGGTCACCGGCGGGCCACCACGGTCACCGGCACGTGTGTAGCTCCACCAGCCGCTGGCACTGGCGGCACTTGACGAAGCAGCACCAGTGGAACTTGCAGCTGCAGCGCTCGGCCAGCTCCACCTGCGCCGTGTGGAAGCCGCGGCCGCAGCACAGCAGCTCGCAGCCGTCGATGGCCTTGGACGTCTTGTTGCACGTGCGGCCCCGCGTGCCCAGCACGCCGCTGCGCATGTCCTGCTCACAGAAGTCCGGGCTGGGCTCTAAATACACCAGGTCCTCGTCAGTGTGCGGCTTGAACTGTGCGTTGCGCGGCACCAGCGCCCTGGAGGAGCCCACACGGCGCGGCTCCACCTCTGTGGCGCCGTCGAACTTCTCCTTCAGTGCGTGGCCCACCTGGCGGAAGGGCGGCACGGCTCGCCAGCACGTCTTTACCTCACAGGAGCCCGACACCCCGTGGCACTTGCACTCCACCCGCATGTGTGTCAGGATAGCCTGCAGGGGGGCGGGGAGGGGAGAGGGCCCATCAGGAGACGGCGGGGGGGGGGCGCTGAGGAGGGGCCGCTGGTGGTGGGGGGGCGGCCGGCGGGGCCGGGGATGGGGGGAATGCCACAGAATTGGAGCAAGGTTGACTGTCCTGCATCTTCTGTGTTAAGCACCTGCTGTATACCGGGGTGGGCCAGTAAGCTGTGTTGGGGACTGTTGAAGACACTGTCCCCGTGCTTGGGGCACTTGGCGTTGATGGAGGAGAAGCATTTCGGAGGGTAGTGTTATATGAGACAGGGAGTGACGAGTGGCAGGATGGGGGAGAACACGGCTGTGCTGCATCTGCGGAGGAGCCGTGAGGAGGGTGGAGAAGGCACGTGATCAGTGTGCTGACAGCAGGTTCGCATCCTAGCTCTGCTACTTAGGAAGGGTGTGTGTGTGTACATAGACTCGTGGGTGGGCGTGTCGGGGGCACACACTACTCTGTGACACCCGCTCACCCGGCTGCTTCCCCGCCTGCCACCCCCTAGCCGGCTGGCCCCGCCCCGGGAGTGCTGGTGCTGCTGGGATCCTGAACGAGTGTTCCCGCGGGGCGCCCGGTCAGGGCGGGGAGAGTGTGCTGGGGGCCCTGCCGAGCCCGCCCCTGCCCTGGCAGTGATGGTGGCAGGGGATGTGCCACACTACCTTCCTGCCGGCCTCGTTGTTGTGGAGGTTCATGAGGGCGCGGCTGGATGAGGCCCCCTTGCTTCTCTCCCGCACGTCCACGAAGGACTGGGAGAAGGCCACGCCGTAGGCGATGTTGTCCGAGCATCCCGACCACTGGAAGCCTGTGGGGGGTGGGGGGCACCGTGGCTGCCGTGAGTGAGGGCAGGGCCCAGGCCCCCAGCCGCCACTCACGCCCTCCCCACATCCCACACTCACCCTGCGGGCTGACCCCGTGCACTGTCCGGTCACAGCCACACTTCTCCAGCTCCCCACTGCTGCACGCCCGCGTCACCGCAAAGGCCACACCTGCTGAAGAGATGGCGTACACGAAGGCCGCCTCCCGAGTCCCTGTGGGAGGCAGAGGGAGGGCAGGGCTGGGTCCCAGTGCTCCGCCCCTCACCCTCCTTTGTTGCGGGGACTGGTACAGGGGAGCCTCATGAGGCAGGCTCTGGGGGGCCAGGAGGTGCCCTGAGCTGCCGTCCTTGTCCTGCCCAGGCCAACCACTGGCGGCGCTTGCCGCACCCCATCGCTGCTTCCGCCTGCGAGCCTGCCCATGGGCTCCTCCCTGCAGCGTCCATGAGGTAAGTGCCACTGTCTCTCCATTTTACAGACAGATTAGTCACCTCGCGGCTCACACAACACGTGGTTGAGCAGGCACGCAGTCCAGCTTCAGTGCTCTTACCTGGGGGGGGGGACACTGTTCTCACAAGCTCTCCGGGAACGAGCCCTGTTCACGGCAGCGTCCAGGAGACAAGACAGGCTCGACAGGTGGACTTACAAGGCTCCAGAGCGATGGCGTAGCAGAGCCGTGGCCGCCAGCCCCGCTCTGGCTTCCTCTAAAACCTCTGTTCTTTTCGTGCCCACCCCCAGCTGGCCCCTGGCGCCCTGAGGGGCCCCTCCCCTGCACTGTCGTCCTGGCCCAGCCCTTTCTGCTGAGGCCGTGTTGCTTCCTGACACCTTTGGGAGGGTCCATCATCATAGCAACAGCCCCTACTGTCGACCACGACCAGTAGTGCTGGGAGCCTGTGCTCTGCTGCCGGGGGCCTTGTTTGTGTCCATTTCATAGATGGTGAAGTGCAGGTGTGCAGAGGGGAGGTGATTTGGTCCCAGGCACCCAGCAAGGAAGTGATAACACCAGGACTCAAACACAGGTCCGTCCGGCTCTGCTGCTTGTTCTTCCACCCCGTGACTTCTTAGCGGTTCTATTTTGGTGCCTGCCCTCCTTCTCTGCCTGAATGGGTGTTTTTATCCTCCTAGGAACTGTGCCTCAGGGTGTAGCTGCTATGGAGCCTCTTTCTGGGGCTGTGGGTGGTGGTGGGTGTGTGTGTGTGCATGTATGTGTGTGTGTGTGTGTAGTGCATGTGTGCGTGGCTGGCTGGGTGTGTGACCAGACAGGCCCTGCTCCTCTTCTAGGCCCTGTGAGGGCCTCTGTGTGCCCGTGACTGTCCTTCTGTCTCTCGCTGGAGTGTCTGTGTCCACAGGAGTGGAGGGGGCAGGTTTTGGCCCCGTGGTTGGCAGTTACCACTGTGACACCCAGGCCTGTGCTCTTGGCTGCCCCTGGGAGCAGTTGCCGTGGTCAGACGGAAACAATGACCTCCTCTGTGCCCGTGTCTGTGGACAGGCAGCAGAAGCTGAGCCCTGGGGTGGGGGGCAGCTCGGGCCCCGATGGCTCAGGACGCCCTGTTCTATGTTCAGCCCTTGAGCTGGGGCTGCGGCCCCCAACCCACTCTCCACGGCCCACCCTCTGCCCTGGCTTGGCCATTTTGGGCCAGCATCAGGGGGCTTGGCTGGAGCCACAGGGGCCTCGACAGCCTGAGATGGAACCCTCTCCAAGTTAATCGAGGTTAATAGCAGGATCATGTTGGTTGGTTTTGTGCTGTGGCCGCCCAAAGAGGGACGACTTTAGTTTCTGGTATTTCTGGTATTTCCAGGCCTGAACCAGCAAAAATCTTTGCCCCAAAGACTAAGGGGGAAGGGCAGGCAGGAGATAGGGACTGGAAGGGTGGCCCCAGCTCTTGGCCAAGTGTGGTCCTTACTTCCGTTTCTCCGGGCTTTCAGGTAGCCCCTGGTCCTCCCGATCCCTGGGCTCATCTCCTTCCCTGAGCGCTGGTAGCCCCGGTGTCCAGGGCTCCCTGTGAGTTTGCTCAGGGAGACCTCTGCCTCATTCTCCAGACCAACGTCCATCTACTGGGACTCCAGGTACCCCTTGCCCTGGTCTCAGGAACAGGACACTACGGTTTTCTCTGCTTGGGAGGGGGCCCGAAGGAAGAGATTCTGGAAGGAAAATATTAATAGCAAAGAGCAAGGCTTAGAGAGAGCTCACTCTGCTGGGCACTGCCTAAGCACTTTACATCATTTATAATACTCTTCACACCAACCCTATGGATCACACCAACCCTATGGAGTAGAGACTTAATCCTCATTTTACAGATGAGGAAACTGAGGCACCGAGGGGTGAAGCAACTGGACCAACGGTACCCAGCCAAGAAGTCGTGGAACCAGTATTTGAACTCAGGCAGCTTTCACCCTTGACATTGTCCTCCTCACGGAGCCTGGAGCCCCCAGGAATACACATGCAGTGGATCTCTTCCTCCCTCCTGTGTGTGAAGCCAAGAAGGGCTTTCTCAGGCCTACCCTAAATCTCACGTGCTGTACGCCAAGTCCGGTCCCTTTTGTGGGCTCCTCCCTGGGGGATGCTGAGCAGTTGGCCTGGGCTCAGCACAGGAGGCCCCAGAAGGCCTGGAGAATGTGGCCACACCACCATGCCCCTAAGGCCCACGGCAGTGGCTCTGTCAGCCTTTTCCAAGTGGCTCTGGGTCCCAGGCCTTTGACTCCAGGGCCGTGGCTCCCCACTGGCTCCTCCCTTCTGCCTGGGTGCCCAGGCTGGAGCCTCGCTTACTAGGGGGGCACCTGGCAGATACAGAAGGGGACAGTGGTGCGTCTGCAAGTGTAGCAGAGGGAGGCCCCGCGTGTCGTGGAAGAGAGCTGCTCCCTGGTCGGGGGTTCGCCTGTTGCAGCTGCAGCAGGGAGACAGACCTGGCTTTGTGCTCCTGGGACACCGGAGCCGGGGGTAAGTCAGAGCTCTTTAAGGTACCAGCAGCGGCCCTGCCACCGCCTGCCTCTTCCATAGAGCCCTTTGCCGCATCCCACAGCCAGCTCCTTTCCTCCTCCCCTGGCTCCAGTGTCTGTCCTCTGGGTCCCACCTCAAGGCCATTTTTCCAAAGTGTGAAGGTGGCCCGGGGCTGGGAATTCAGCGTTGTCCTGTGGACCCAGTAGTAGCTACCCTTTCTGAGGGCCTACTAAGTGCCAGTGCCTTCCCACAAGCTATCCGCGGCTCATGACAACTCAGCACCCAGCCCTCTCGAGCTCTGCTCTGTGGAGGAAGGAGTGAGGCTCCGTGGCCTGTCCGGGGTCCCTCAGTTGGTCAGCAGCTAGGTGGGAACAGGAACTGAAGCCTGTCTGACTCAAGGCCTGTAACCTTCTGAGCACATCATGTGCGACATCTCTCCCAGATGTTGGAAGGAAGGGCATTTGAGCGGGAAGAAGTTTGGAGGAAAAGCTGTGGACGCGGAGTTGGGCTGGAAAAGAAGCCACGGGCATGGTGATGCCCTGGGCACCAGACAGATATCCCGGTGGAAGGGCCATTCAAGCATAACTCACGTGTTTCCAAAGCAGACCCAGCGGGAGTCCTAGCAGATGGCACAGGACAGGCACTGGTCTCTGAGAAAGACATTGTGCCCATCCTCTCCTTTTCCATGCTCCCAGCCTGCCTTCCCAGTTTCCTTTGTTCTCTTAGCTGCAAAAGCTCACCTTTTCTTGAAACCACCTCCAGGAAGTCTCTTTGGATTTAAGAGACCATGTAGGACAGGGGAAGGAGTCAATTAAGACTCTTACTAGTGGTGGGACCGTTCTCTCTGAGCCTCATGGTCCCCACTCTAACAAGGGGAAGAGAGTGCTGCCCAGGCAGGCCAGACCCCACACTTCTCCCACACCTCCTGCCCACCACCTTGGGCTCCCAGGACTGCTGGCACGCTCGCTGGCCTGCCTGCCCCGGGACAACAATCAGGTGGCAGGTCTTCTCTTCTAAGGGTCTTGCGTGTTTGGCCTCTGCAGCCAGACTGGAAGCTCCCGGGGCCAGGCTGACCCCGTACTTCTCCTTTGTCCCCCAGTGCCCAGCGCAGGGCTGTGCACAGAGCAGCCCTCAGAGACAGGGGTGAGTATCGGGAAAGAGCCTGGATGCTCAGCCAGCAGGCCTGAGATCTACTTCTCGCTCTGCTGGTGTGTGATTTCAGTTTTCTTGTCCACAGAAGGGGGCTAATAGTACTGACCTCAAGAGGTGGCTATGGGAATCTAATGAGGTAAAATATAGAACGTGCTTAGTCTAGTCCCTGGCACATAATGGGCACTGGAGACATATTTTGTGATTATTGTCGTGATTAATGACATTTTATTCGTTTGCTAACAGATGACATAGGGTGCTGACACTCTGAGGACCAGGTAGTTGACTGCATGTTTGCCTTTGGGCTGAAAGCTTCCTTGGGGCAGAGAAATGCCCTGCTTGCTCCCTCACCAAATATTTATCGATCACCTGCTGGGAGCCAGGCCTGATGCTACACACTAGGGATACTGAGGTGAATTTGTCCTCTAGGAACTCCCGGTGACAGAATGTCTCTGGGAACCCACCCCAACCCACCAGGAGCTAACCTGGATCCCAAAAGGCTGGCCTGGAGGTCACCCAGAAGGAAGGCCTGAGCTCACCCTCATGGGGCCCACTATGATGCCAGTATTGAGGGTCAAGGAGAGAGCAGAGGTTTTGGTAGGTCACAGCTTAGGACTGAAAAGCCTTCACGTCTTAAATCCAGTCTGATGTTACAGTCAGTAAGGCGTCTAGATGACGTCAGACATGCAGGGGGTGGGAAGGCGGGCCTGGGTTTGAATCCTCACTCTGCGTTGGCCAGTGCACCCCATCACCTCCCAACCATGGCAGCCAGAGGCTGGAGGGTCTCAGGGCTCATCGAATCCCCTCTCTCGGGACAGGCCTCGGTCAAGGTCACAGAATGAGATGTGAAGAGGCGGGCAGAGGCACGGCATTGCCCACAGATGGAGGGGAGAGGGGAGGAGTTTGCACCGCCTTTCTCGCCGCTCCCTGTCATGCTCAGGCCAGCCCGCTCTGGGAGCCCAGTATGTCCTGCTCATGGTGACCTTGAAACTTTGCCAGGCTCTATAGGGCTTCACGCTCCCATCCTCAAATTCTTTTTATTCGGTCAACATGTATTTATCAGTTACCTACTATGTGTAGGTGCTGCTCTAGACTCTGGGACAAAGCAGTGACTAAAGCGTACAAGGACATCCCACATCCGGTCCTTAACCCCTGCTCAGCCAAGAACTGCCACCTGCCCCCATTCCTGGCTGCCCCAAATTCCTGCTAGATTTTCAGCCGAGAGCACACGGTTCGGCCCTCAGTCATACACTGTCCTCATTGGTGACCATTAGCTCACGTCCAGCTCTCCCCAGTAGGCCAGGAGCAGGGTGACCTCCGCTGCTGGGGGTGGTGGGGTGCAGGGCTGGAGGCTGGGAGACCTCAGGCAATGTCAGCCTGGGGGGCCCTGGGGAGTCAATGAGCCCTTCAGAGGCACCATCTCTGCCTGGCGGCCAGGAAGTGGGTCCTGGGATTGTCCCCAGTTTACGGGGAGGACGCTGAGGCTAGGTGGGGGGATGGACCTTGTCTGAGATCTCAGAGCTAAGAGTTGGCAGGTCCTGGAGCTGGGTGGGTGTGTCACCACCCTCTGCTTGCTGAACCTCCTTTCTCGGTGTTAAAGTGGGGGACATCACCACATATTCGGTTGTCGTGAGGGTGATCTGATGCCAGACAGCACACACAGGGCCGTCAACAAATGGGGTTTCTTTTCTTCTCCAAGGATGGCCCGACTCCTGGGCCTCCTCCATGTCTGAGGCCATGACCCCAGCCAGGCAGCTCATGAATGTGGGCACCAAACCAAGCTCACCCTTGCCACCACCCTAAAAGCTGGTGGCCTCGCTAAAGGCCGGCCCAGCCTAGCTGCTGCTCTTGTGGCTGTCCCCAGTGACAGCAGCCGGTGAGAAGGGCTCTTCTTGGGTCAGGATGGACCCTAAGTGCTGCCACACACCGCGTCACACAGTGACACCACTCTCCCAAGGTCGCACCTGCCCATGCCCCCCCACAGCTGCCTCCTCAGCCCTGGAACTTCCCAGAGCAGCACCTGATGATGTCCAAGTCCCTCTTGCTCAGTGGAGACAAATGAGGACTTTTCCAAGAGGACTTTCGCTAGGGAAGAACACGAGAAATGCAAGAGTGAGGAGATGGATGAGCAGGAAGAGCTCAGATCTCTCCTCCGGACACGCCTGATGTCTGCCTGGTGGGCGTGCGCCTTGACTTGGCCCCGAGGGGGCTGGATGCTCCACCAAGCCACGCAGACTTTAGTCCCGAGCAGGTTTCAGCCAAGCCTGGTAGGATTTTCAGTGTTTTCCCAAACTTGCTGAGCCAGGGGTGGGCCCTTCCTTGGTTCCTGCTGCACACACCAGTGAGGAAGGCACTTCCCCACGGCATTCCCCACTGGCTTCGGGCCAGCACTGACCCCATGCCTCCCCTTCTTGGCCCTGTGAGTCCTTGCCCCGACTTGCTGCCCCTGGATGACATCCACTGACTGTCTCCTCCATGCCAGGCTCTGCCATGTGCTAGGAAACAGGTAAATGAGACACCTTGCCATGGAAGGGTTCAAGGTTTAGGGATGGGAGAGCGGGGTAAGGGCACAGGCATTATAGTTTAGTCTAAAAGATGTAATGAGGGGCGCCTGGATGACTTAGTCGGTTAAGCATCTGACTCTAGATTTCAGCTCAGGTCATGATTTCAGGGTTGTGAGATGGAGCCCCACATCGGGCTCCATACTAGGTGTGGAGTCTGCTTGAGATTCTCCCTCTCCCTCTGCCTCTGCTCCTCCCCGCCACCCTGCACACCTGCGCGCTCTCTTCCCCTCTCTCTCAAAAACTAAAAATAAAAGGTGTAATGAAAGCCGTGTGAACACAAATGGTTTAGACGTGTGTGTGTGTGTATTAAGGGGGAGGGAGAGAGAGAGAAATTGATAAGGCAGATGGGTTAAAATGTAAACAGTTGGTGCATCTAGGTAAAGAGTATTATGGGAATTCTTCTTAGGAAAAACCAAGCTCATACATAGAGAGAACAGACTGGGGGTTGCCAAAGGTGGGGGTGAGGAGGTGGGCGAGATGGCTGGGGGGATCAAAAGGTACAAACTTCCAGTTACAAAATACGTTGGTCATGAGGACGTCATGTACAGCATGGTGACTGTGGTTAATAATCCCATGTTGCATATGTGAAAGCTGCTAAGAGAGATCTTAAAAATTCTCATCACAAGAAAAAAAATGTGCAACTGTGTGGTGATCATTTTGTAATATATACAAATGTGGAGTCATTATGTTGTAGGCTTGAAATGAATATAATGTTGTATGTCAATTATACCTCAATAAAAAAAGTAAATCTCTCACCTAGAGGTGAAACAAATTTTTTTGTAACTTTCCTGTAAGTTTGAAATTATATCAAAACCAAGAAAACCCCAGCATGAGCAAAGAGCATCAGAGCCCAGAGGAAAAAGCAACCGCCTGCTTGTAGGAGCTGCGAAGATGCTGCAGGAGGGAAGCGCTGAGCTGGCAGAGAAAGAGGGGTGAATGCTTGGGGTGGAGGCAACAGCACGTGCAAAGGCACGGGGGCTGTGACAGGGCCTGGCACATGGAGCCACCTTTGCCCCTGAAACTCCAAACACCTATCAAATACGAGGGCCTTCCCGTGCTTAGTCTGCGGTTTGAGCCTAGTATTTGGGCCTCATCAGACAGTGGCCCCAGGGCCCTGGCAGTGGCACCATCGTCCCGGGGAGATCCTCCATTACCTGGCTACTCGCTGGATCTCTGCTGCTTCCCTGGAGCAGCAGTATTCAGTAATGCCAAGCATGATGGTGCCTTTTTGGCCTCTGCCAGCTCCCCGGAGAATTGCTTCCAAATTTCGATCACAGTTGGTTTCCAACAACATCTAAACGGTTTGCCACAAGCCCAGCAGCCCTGGCTGTCCAGGACCACAGGTGCCAAGACAAAGGTTGGCCCAGGCAATGCCCTCCCGCTGCCTCACGAGTCAAAGGGCCCTGTCGACGGTTAGTAGCTCCGGAGTGTCAGTTTCAGGCTCAGGAAGTAGAAAAAGAGGCAGCTGGTTTACAGCACTTCCTCGAGGGCAGCAGCTTGACCCAGTGACCTCTCGAGGAGCCTTCCAGTTGCACGGAACGTTCTCTCTGCCCTGCCCACCTTCCTCTGGCTTAATGCCTTCTCATATTTCTCATCTCAGCGGAGGGCCTAACTTCTCAGGAAAGCTCTCTCTCAGCATCCAGCCCTGGCCAGGGGAGGAGTCTACCCGCGTGTTCCCAAGGCTCCCATGTGACCCCACATCACGGCATTTTCTCATTATGGGTAAGAGCAGGACCCTGGAGCTGGGTTGCGTGGGCTCAAGCCCCGGCTCTGCCACTTGCTGGTTCTGTGACCTCGGGCAAGTTACTGAGCCTCCAGGTGCCTCAGTTTCTTCATTGGCAACGTGGAAACCTCTCTCCAGGGCCAGAGGAGTCAGCATTTACTTAAAACAGGGTCTGGTCCCTAGTTTGCACTATTGGTGTAGAAGCTCCTGCCCCTCCTGGGCTTGACTTTACTGCTCCCGGGAAGACAGAGGAGGGGTGCTGCTCTTGCGTGGTCTCAGAGCTGGGCATGGTGAGGCTGTCCACATGGCCTGGCAGAGGTACAGACGAACGAGGTGGGCTCACCCAGGAGGCCAAGAGTTAAGGTCAAAGCAGCATGGGGCTGGGGGTCTGGAGCCCCAGGTTCACCCTCTGAGGAGCTCTGGGCCAATCCATCCTTTCCCCTGCCTGAGCCTTGGTTTCTTCCTCAGTAGAACGGGGATGGCAGCTTGGGGACCAAAGCCCTACGGACTAGAGAGTGCTGCACCCACAAGGAACAGCACTCGTCTGCTGGCCCTCCCACCCCACCTGCAGCCTTATGCCCTGGCTCCCAGCCGCGCGCTGGTTTAGCTTGCTCAATGGCAGATGGCTCCAGCCACTCACGAGCACATGACCCCCCTGCCAGGGAGATGCCCCCCACCCCCACGCCCCACACCTCCCGCGAGCCCCTCCCTCACCTTGTGTCACCACCTTGCCGAAGACAGGCAGGGAGTCGAGCGTGGAGCAGTTCCAGCGCCGGTTCCGGAACTGGTACTGGCACTCCTCAATGGCGAGCTGAGCGCCACGGCGCACCGAGTCCATCACCTCCAGGTTCCGCTTGCACATCTGCACCTGCCTCTGGATCAGGCCCTTGAGCTTCTCGCACGTCTCCTCCTCTGAGATGCTCCCCACCGAGGACAGCTTGGCCAGGTACCTGGGGAGAAGGCGGTGGCGTGGAATGCGGTGTGGTGCTCCTTCCTCCTCTTCCCACTGCCAGGACCCGGCTGTGCCCAGCCCAGGTCTCCAGGGACTGATTGATCCCCCTGATGGGTCCCGGCGGTGACTTCTCTCTGGATCTGGTGACAGGCCCCCGTGCCTGGCTCTTGGGATCAGAGGGGGAAGTGCTGTCTTGCATAAGAAAGCCTCTGCTTCCGCCAAAGCAGGCCAGGCACTGGGAGGGACAGTGACAGAGCCCCCACGGGACCCTGGCGTGGTGCCTGGGCTCTGACCCTGTCAGGTCTCTCTGGCTGGGAGGCCGGGACCAGTCCCCTGGTGTCTCTCTGTCCCCGCCCCCAGGCAAGGACCCCGGGAACCTAAGCCCATCCCAAGCCACGCCAGCCACATCCCTGGGTACCAGATGGAGGCCAGCATCAGGGCGGCAGCCGGGAGACTCGGTCAGCACATGGAAGGGGGCAGAGGAGGAAGCCTTCAAAAACAGTGTGCCGTGCTCTTCCCTCGGCCCCTGGAATTTTTACAGCCTGAAGATGGGACAGCAATGCTGTTCCACCTCATAGGGTAACAAGCTGGGTAATTTACATCCGAGGGTTCTGAGACCAGGACTGCAGGGAGCGGGGGCTCTAAAGCGTCCATTTCAGGGGAGGACAGGAGAAAGCATGACTGTTCATTGAACACCCACTATGTGCCGTGCACAGTGGCAGTCACTGCCGCATCCTCGCCCCCAATCTATGAGGTGGTAATTATTATGCCCGTTTTATGGATTCCAACATGAAGGCTAAGAGGGTGACAGGGCCAAAGTGACACAGATAGCAAGTGCCAGAGCTGAGCTGCAAACCCCTTCAAGCAGGGTGGGCCTTCCTCCTGCCTGTTCTCCTCCATGGTGGGTTGAGGGGCCTGGGCAGGCTCTGCTGCATCTGAGGACAGACACTGTGTGATCTGGGCCAGGAGGTAAGGGAGCTGGAAGCAAGCTGCAAGAATGCTCAGCAGGATGGGAGCAGAGCTGGGGAAAGGCCCTGGTCAGGAAGAAGTGATCCCTCTCAAGGGAAAGAGCTATGCATTAGCTGAACACCTACTACGTGCCGGGTATGTCTCAGGTGAAGTGATCAGCTCAGGGTCACCTGGCTTGTAAGGGCAGATGTAGACTGAAGCCCAGGTCCAATAACCCCGCGACTCTGTTCTAACCACTGGCCCTCAGCCTGTCCCCACCCCTCTCCACTAGCATCCTTGGCCAGAGAGAGCAAGCTGCCCCTGACTTTATGGTGAACCAGCCTCCCTGCACACCACCCCCTTCACCAGGGGCTTGGCCAGCAACCCTGGTCTGGGACGGCAGGAGCTTCCTGGAGCAGGGGGGCGAAGATGCTGTTGCATCCTATAAGGGAAGCTGCATGAATTTCTTGTCCAAAGAGGGGGTCAAAGGGGAAGGCCACCACTCTCGAGGACTCAGTTTTCTTATCTGCAATGTGGGGAGGTTACCACTGGTTCTGGCTAAGTCAAGGAACTGCTGTAAGAGCAAAAGGGGTCCTGTGCGTGAAAGATGGTCTGACCAGGAGTCTGAGGCAGTGGGGCAGGAACTGGCCATTTGTTTGCCGAATGAAGTGAAGGCATGGAGAGCAAAGAGAGAAGTACATAGAAAGCCCCACTAAAATACGGGACATTTTAATGACGATGGTAATAAGCATAGCTCACTTTGATGGAACTTAGGACCAGGCTAAGCACTTTACTTACATTATTGCATTTATCCCCTCAGCAAGCCAATGGACTCCCATTTTATAGAGGAGGAAACTGAGGCACAGATACGTTAAGTAGCTTGCCTTGTGCACAAGGTCATCCAGCTGGTAAGAGGTGGTGCCAGGACTTGAATCTGGTTTTGCCTGACTTCAAAGCCTGTGCTAGATCCAACGTTGTTTTAAGCAGCTCAAGGACTAGACCTGACCCCAGTGGGCAGAAACTGCTGGGAGCCGGGTCTGCTCAACCTAAGGATGCTGGTCAAGGTGCAGCCGGTGGGCTGCCTTCTGGTCGCCGAGCTTTCCTCCCCCGGAGGTGTGTGAGCAGCAGGCGGATTCTGTTTGTCAGGCACGTGGATTGGACCAGAGGGATGGTTCTCAAATCTGGCTGTGCATCGAAACATTTGTGGGGTTTGCTGAAAGCACAGGTACCTGGGCCCCCCTCTAGGCGGGGCTGGGTGGGCATCTGGGCTTTTCGCACATTCCCAGGAGCAGCTGGGAAGCGAGGCTGGCCCTGGACGGCACTTCAGGGGAAGCTCTTGGCTAACCACCGGTGATGCCTCCTTCTACACCCGAGGGAGATCTGATTCTGGGACCCACGTTCCTCCTCATGGCTGCATCAGTACCCCCAGCCCCGGTTGTGAGGCCTGAGTCTAGCTTTCTTTATCTAGGGGTGGAGACCATGGATCCTATCCCAGAGTGCTGCTGTGATAAATTAAGGTGATTTGATGTGGCTGGTGCAGCCGGCTCTCAGCCGGACACGTTGCAGGTGTGACCCTGAGGAACCCCCCCTTCCCTGGCAGCACAGGTGAGTAGGAGGTGGGTGGTCTTGGGCTGAGGCAGTCCCACCTTCCCTTCCTCTCCCCACCTTCCTCGCCTCCTGGGGGACCTCCCTGTCTTCTCTATCAGGTCCTGCCTAGGGGATGCACAGACACTGGTAGGGTTGGGGCAAGAGCCTGAGCCTCCCAGAGGGGAGAAGCGTGGGAGGATGGTTGAAGGGCAGGGGGGTTGCATCTGGGAGGGAAGGGGGCAGACTTGGCTCCTCAGCCCTGTCTGGGTGCTCCCCTTGCCTGGGCCAGCTGAGGAAAGGGGGTCCCCTATGGAGCTAGTCCCACCTGGTGCTCTTGGCCTGCAGGGGGCGCCAAGAGCCCAGCGACTGGCCAGGGGCCAGGTCCATACTTGTGAGGCCGCGAGTGAGGGGACAAGGAGTTGGGCCTCAAGTTGGGTCCTTTCTTGCTCAGACCGAGGCTTGGCCTCTTGGATAAGGGTGGGGGCCCCTATTCCCTGAATGACATGGGGGCACAGAGCTGGCCTGTCCCCATCTCAGCCCCTGTTCCCTCTGCGTCCTGCCAAGGGGCCAGGTCAGGCTATACAGACTCCTGGCTCCTGGTGAAGGGAGGTGTTCAAGGGCAGGGGTTCTCTGGGCAGGGGAAGCAGGCTGGGGAGGACTGGCTGAGCCCACAGCCCACAGTGTGACCTTGGGCAAGTCCCTGCCGACTCAGAGCCTGTTCTCCTCGTGGGGACAATAAACTGGCAGGTCTGTGTGGCCTTTCCCTCTGTCCGAGTGGTAGTCCTCCTTCTACAAACCAGGAGGGGGGTGGCCAGGCCTCAAAGGCCTCAGGGGGCCCCAGCCAGGCTGATAGACGGAGCCCCTACCGTTGAATGAGAAATGAAGTAGACCAGAGGAGCTGCCCACCCCGTCTCCTAGGTCCAGACTCAGTGAGGGGAGGCAGCCTGAAATAACAGTAGTAGGGCTTTAGGGGTGAGCTGTGGGCTGCCATGGCCGTGAGTCACTGGGATAGCTTCCAGGAAGAAGCTGAGAACCCTCTTCCGCCGAAGAGCATGCCTGCCCTCACGGCTGGCACGGGTGCCACCCCCCGGCCCCTGCCTTCATCTGGCTCCACAGCTGTCCCCTTCCATGCTGCAGGAGGCACAGCTTCAGCCCACCCGGTTCTCCCAGATCCCAGGGTCTGGCCCGGGAAGGGCTGGCTGCTGCAGCGGGACATGCAGCTGGGAATGGGGTGGAGAGAGGTGGGACCCGGGGCCCTTGCCCGCGCTGCCTGCCTGTTCGGGTATCTGGTCTGGGGGCCTGGCCTCATTTTACAGAGGAGCGAACTGAGGCCCAGAGAGGTGGAGTGCCTCATCCAAAGTCTCACAGCCAGCAAGTGACTGGGAGCTCTGTCTCCCCTGTACCCTGGTTGTGGGTCTGCCCAGCCTGACGGCTGTGGGGGCTGACACTACCTTCAGTGTCATGTCCAGCCGTGGTCTCCTCGGGGCCTGGCACAGGGCGAGGCCCACAGAAGGTTTTCTGTCAATGCCTGCAGCGTGATGGGGGGCTCTGTTCCCCAAGTCTCCTCCTGGCAGAGTCCTCAGGGTAGAGAAGAGGGGGGCTGAGGGAGTACCATGGGGGCTGCCTCTGCCTACCAGCCTGCACAGGGCGTAGAGACGGTCAGGGGTCAGGGCCACCTGGTCTTGGGGGCCTCAGGATCCCTTCCCTGCACCCTAAGGTGGCTCAGCCTTTTCCCTAGAGCCACGTGTGCCACTCGATGACCCTGGAGCTGGGCCGGGCTCGAATGTCGGCTGCATAAGCCATTTCTGGGGAGACAGAGAGCCTCCCGGGCGTGATCAGTGTTGGCCGTCACTGGGCCGGGCTGGCCAGGCCTGTGGAGGGCCTTGACCATCTCTGCTTCCTCTCTCGTTCTGGTTGCCTTGCCCCAATTTGGGCTTCTTCCTGCCACTGCTGAGTACAGGCTTAGCAATTTGCCACCTGCTGCCCCAGCCACCCAGGACTCTAGCCACAGCCCTGCCATCGATCAGGTTACCCCAGCAGGCCGGGCAGCCCCGGCTGCCGCTGCCAGCCAGCTCGTGCCCCCATCTTCTCAACCGGGGGCTGCAGGTCCTGCAGGCTCCTCCCAGGAGGCCCTCCCCGCCGGCCCGTGCCGCAGCCTGCAAGGCTGGAGGGCCTGGCCCTGCCAGGGAGATCAGATCCTCTCGGCCACCTGCTGTTTTCATTAGAAACTAAAATTAGCTGGGCTTGTCCCAAGCTTTTCCAGGTTTGCTTGCTTTTTAAAAAAAATATACAAATTCCTAGAGGAAAATCCGCACCTCTCCGGCTCCTCTCCGGCTCTTACTCTTGAGCGTCCAGAGGAGAAGGGACGGGAAATAGCTGGGGCGTTTGGGAGGCCAAGCAGATCAGTGTCGTGGGTCCTGGCCCCGCGGGTGTCCAGGTGGGGGCTGGGACGCCAGCGTAGGC